GGAAGGAAGGAAGGAAGGAAGGAAGGAAGGAAGGAAGGAAGGAAGGAAGGAAGGAAGGAAGGAAGGAAGGAAGGAAGGAAGGAAAGCAAGCCTTTCCAAGAATATCCCCAACCCCACCTGTAGGAATACAATGAAGGCCAGCCGTTCTCGGATCCCCTCCTTCGGCGACATGTGATAGACCTTCCGAAGGTGCATCGCGGCCGATTGGAAGTCACAAAGCTGGAGAAAGGCTTCCGCTTTCCTCTCGTAAAGTTCTCCCTAGGGAGAAGAAGAACCCACAATGGCCTTCGGGAGGCCCTCGGCACTGGTGGGTCCACCGAGGAATTCTGGGAGTTGAAGTCCATACACCCCTTAAAATCCCATCCCAACAGTAAAACCAGCTTCTCCATTAGATGCTTCATCCAGGTCGCTTAGAAGGCCCCACAGCACCACCAACGTGAACAACGTTATTGTTATTATTTTTAACATTATTGTTAAAAAAAAAAGTTGAACAATAACGCTGTTCATGTTGGTGGAGCTCGATATCCGTGCTTCGCTACGAAACTTACGTGGTTGGGCTTAGTTTTGGGGGAGGAAAATAAGGGGAGGAGGACTTCTGCCTCTGTCTACCAGCCTCCATCGGTATACATCCGGCTAGCGTCCTGTCCGTGTGTGAGAGGGCTGTTTGGAAACTGAAACGGTATTTGCTGGGTGAGCAAGGAGACAGCAAGGAGCCTGGGCGTGGCTTAGCTCAACTGTTCTGCACTAAACTTGCTTGCTGCTCTGAAAGTGAAAGTGAAACTCCTCTCTTCTGATTGTGTTTTGCCTTTGGAAGAGATTTCTTTTCAGGTGGGGAGGGGGAGTAGAACTCCTTAGCATCAGAGCGTGTTTATAATAATAATATAGGAAATAGTAATGCTCTGATGGTCATGTTGAAAAACCCTCTCTTAGGTTTTTCTTAGGTTTTTTTAAGCCAAGAGGAACATACGGGCCACAGTTCAAGTTTGTAGGCTTTACGGTTCTGGAGAATTTGTGATGATGCGTGAGTGGCATTTTGCTTTTATAGAGAGAGAGATATTATACAGCAAAAAAAAAAATGACAGTGTACACAGCAAAGGAGATAACTATGCCGGGTTTCGTACACAAGTCACTACACGAACCCTTCCCAAGCGTTTAGGACTGTGTGATGTATCAACGGCTTATGTGAGCAGATCCCAGTAAGGTATCCTTCTGCATTATATTGTATTATATTATATTATATTATATTATATTATATTGTATTGTATTGTATTGTATTGTATTGTAGTGTAGTGTAGTGTAGTGTAGTGTAGTGTAGTGTAGTGTAGTGTAGTATAGTATAGTATAGTATAGTATAGTATAGTATAGTATAGCATAGCATAGTATAGCATAGTACAGTTTAGTTATTAGTTATAATTATTAGTTATAATTATAGTTATTAGTTATAGTTATTATTATATAGTTATAGTTATATAGTTATGGTTATGGTTATAGCTGTATAGTTATAGCTATAGCTATGGTTATGGTTATGGTTATAGTTATATAGTTATAGCTATAGTTATAGTTATAACTATAGTTATATAATTATAGTTATAGTTATAGTTATTATCATCATCCATCCCCACACCTACCTTGTTGGGATCCAGATTCAGAGCCTTGGTGTAGCGAGTGATGGCTTCCTCCCATTCCCCTTGGGAGAAGTAGAGATCTCCTTCTCGGCAGCTGTAAAAAGAAAAACAAAATCCAAAAGGAAACCAGAGGTGTTTGGACCAATTATTTATAAGGAGCAACATGTTGGCACTTTTCCCAAGTGCAGTCGGCTCCGCCCCACATAATTTACTGGCCACCTATCACCCTGTTTCCCCGCCCTCCCAGGGTGCGTCATAAATCACATTCTCCAACGCAGCACTTTCTCGGGCTGTAGAAAACACGCCTCTCCGGCTTGCTCTAGTAACCTGGGATACAATCTGGAGAAAGGTGTGTGTGGAATGGGCTTCTGGTCATAGCAATTGAGCTTCTCTCCATCCCTCCTGCCTATGGCAACTCAAGAGGAGACCAGGAATGCTTTACGAGTTGACAATGACTATGATTATGATTCCATCGCACAGCCAGCCAGATGTTCAGACCAGATTTGGCACTTCTGTCACCCTATCGAGTCCTTTCCAAAGATTTAGGACAGGCAGATGGATGTACTGTAACAGCACACAAATGTAAAAAATGAAGCCATAACAAGGAAGGTTACAAAAAGCAAATGAGATACAAAAAAGACCAATAAAAACAACCAAGGAAAAAGAAAACAAGAAAAAAGAAAAACAAATAAACACATCAGTGTGTTTCATAAATTAAAACTGGAACATTGGGAAAGAATGTGGAGGACAAATTATAGACTAATACTATCTACAGCGTACAGAGAAAATATGTACAAAATGTTTTATAGGTGGCATCTACCCACCGCCAGATTGGCAAAAATGTTTGTGAATCAAAATCCGGAATGCTGGAAATGCAAAAAAGAAAGGGGTACATACTTTCATATCTGGTGGACCTGCCCAGAAGTTAAAAAATATTGCAATAAGATTTGGATTTGGCTGGAAGAAATACTCAAACAAAAAAATTGAATTTCAACCAGGGCATAATAAAAGGAAAATATAGTAAAACCGATAGATATATCATTTTACAAAACTGCTGCTAGGATCTCATATGCACAACACTGGAAACCGGGAGATGCACCACAAGAGGGAGCAGTGACATTGGACTGCGTTGAAATGAACAGGCCGACCTTAGAATTAAAACGATAAAGAGGAATTGATATATTACTCAGAGGCTGGTGCAGGTTCGTGAGAGAGCTTTTTTTCAGGCCGGAGAGTAAACAGCATGTTGGGGGCAAAGTTGGAGCAAATAAAGGGACTCATACCTGTTCTCTGGCTGTGTTGCCCTCATCCCATGCCCCAGGTCATCGCACTATTCACCACACCGTGAATAAATTAATGCAAACCTCACCCGGTTCTAAACTCAGCTTAAAAAATATTAAAGCAAATTACAGATTATTCACTGATCCGTGTTTTTACAGATGGGGAGAAAACTAGCACGTACTGCTCATCTATTTTCCTGTTCAAAATGCTTTCATAATCTCCTGCTCTTTGGGGGTTTTTAACCTTCATCAAAGTCTTCGCGGGCCCAAAAATGCGAGTGATGGCTTTTTCCTTGGATTCCTGAAGCTTTTCTTCGGTGACGGCTGTAGGGAAGAGCGTCATAACAATCGTCGACATCTTCACCTCCTGCAGGATAGGAAGGATGACAAAAGTCAGCGGGTCCTCCGGACGTAAGGCAGAGCGTTTCCCCCCCCCCCGTTGGCCAAGGAGAACCGCTTGGTTTTGATAGGAAAACAGTGGGATATCCAACCTATTTGAATAACTAAACACAAAAGGGTCTCTTTAAAAGCAAACGTCTACCCGCGGGCTCCTCTGAAAAAAAAAGCAAAGCTGGTTTGGTCATCCTCCTCCTCCTCTTTTTTAAGGCACCCATAATCCCCTACCGGGTAGAGTCTGAGCAACTAAATGGAGCTGAGCGTTTATTGGCCGGACTGTTGCCCATGCGGAGTTTATTCATCAGATATATCCTCAGTGTGCCCAGAGAGGGAAATATCTGCCTCTACCCAGGATCAAACTCACAGTCTCCTAATTGTGAGGTGAGAACTCCACCTCTGGGCCACCGCACTACTTGCAAAACTGGTTTGGTATTTCTGCAAAATCCCTGTAAGAACTGCAAGGGCTATGGGGCAAGATTTCCCACAAAGGATCCCCAGAATTTTGGGAGGAAGGTTTGCAAGCAACATTACTACAAGACAGCAGATACTATTTTCTCCATCCGTGCGTCTCCTACTCTGTCCGACCCGCTTGATCTCGGCCAGGGTGCAACCTCCTCCTCACCTTCACCTTTGCTTTGGGTTCTTCGACCTCTTCTTCATCCTCCATCGCTCCTCCAACCACTCTGTAATTTGCGTCCCCTGGTTTCTATGTCAACCGCTTGGCGGGCTCAAACTTCCCGTTGGCTGCTAGAGGAGAAAAGAGGAATTTAAAAAAGGAGGTTTCTTTGTTAGGCTTCCAAGCCTTCAGAGCACAGAAAGATTGCATGGAAGAGGCTTAAGTTTAGTTTTAATATTCTCTAAAGTCAGGAAGTCACTTATTCGTTATTTGACCTAGAGGAAAAATGTTTCAGATCTTCCCTAAAAGGGTCCTCAAAGCAACTTCCAGAATTAAAACCCACCAGAGGGCTATAGAAAATGCAAAAAAAGCCAACACACACGTCATTACATCATTAAAGAGCCTCAGAAGGCAAGGGCCAGGATTTTATGCTTGCCTGCGAGGTGTCAACCTTCTTTCTCAAGTAGAGGCAGTCCTTGTTTAACAACTACCTCACTTAGCAATGGTTTGTTACGACAATGATAGAAAAGTAACTGTATGGCCAATCTTTGCATTTACCACCTCTGCAAGTCTGTAAAGCAAATGAAAGCTTCAGTAAGATCGAAAGCACCATCATGTTTTCATTTAAGGACAATCTATGCTGAACAATCGAGTTGCTAGTTCCAATTGTAGTCACTTAGAGGACTTCCTGCCTTCACAAAATACTTAACATCTTGATATGCCTTTTGTTCTGAGAGGTTACCTCGGAAAAGTATGTTTTTCAAAACATTTTTCATCTGGAAAAAAAAAATCCCTCTGCTAGAACGGAGATCCCAGCCTACGTTTTGTAAGGATGCCATATAGGAATAAGAATACCATCTGCCTCAAAGCTGCTTTTTTCTCTCATTAAAGAGCCCCCATGTTTTCAACTCTGACCCCCATTCGTGTTGCTTTTATTCCTATTTATTTAAAGGCATTTATTTACAGTGCAAATTTAGTAACTTTATATTATTTACTAAATAATATAATTATTTTTTTATTATTATTATGGTTGACTGCACGATCAGCCAGACATTGAGACTGGATTTGGCACTTTTATTAAGTCCTATCAAGTCCTTCTTGAAGGTGGCTGCTGCTGCTGCTACTAATACTAGTATTATCTCATTTATTCATCAAACATGAAACTTAGCAAACTGAACATAAAAATGTATCACAAATATCATTGACTGGCATTGACGGTTGATATGGGTTGCTTCCAGCATCCTAGGTATCAATTATTATTATTATTATTATTATTATTATTATTATTATTATTATTATTATTATTATATTATTATTATTATTATTACTGTTGTTGTTGTTAATAATTATCATCATCTGGGTGTTTGATGGTGCTACGGATATCGCTGCTAGATGGAAGTTATTATTATTGTTGGTGTTTTGTTGTTGTTATTACTACTGCTACTACTATTTTATTACAGCCTAAAGGCTTTGACTTTAATTTCTAACTTTCAAAGCAGCAAGTCACATATTTGCATCTTTTTAAGGGTTTTTATTATACTACTTCATTGCGGAAATTTGAGCTTCGCTTAAAGAACACTCGAGCTTCCGCCCCTAAGAAAGATGGCGCTGGAAACCTTCCTGCCAGGCATCCCGCGATAGGCCACAAGCCTGATGACGTCATACTGAGCTAGGCGGCAAAGGCAGCGCCGCAGAGCTCGGCATTTTTTAAAAAAACAACAACTTTGCGGCCGGCCCCGGAAGTGGGCCTTCGGGAAGTGTGGGGGGGAAAGGCGAGGCGGAGAGGCCATGATGCGCCCTCAGCCCCTCGGACAACTCCTGCGCTGGGCTCTGAGTCACCGCAGCGACGAGCTACAAACGACGAGCTACAAACCGGTGATGGTAAGTCCGCCGCTTTCAAGCGAACGCCATCATGGCCAGGCTCCTTCCGGTTTGGAGTTGATCGCTTCCGGGTTGAGTGGGTCAATTCGACCGGGCAACCCAAAGAGGTAAAGCAGGCATGGCTATCACATATGACTTCCGGTTCTTTGTAACGGAAAGCTTCCATATGCGGGTCAGGAAGGGAAAAGATATTTAAATAAAGATAGGGCAGCCTGCCAGCAGTTCCTTCCATATGTTTTGGGCTAAACAGGCTTGCATTAATACCCAGATTAGATCTCAGTTCTGTCTCCAATTAGGAAGAGTTGCAGCTGTTGTCCCTAGTTTCCACCACTCACAAGGCAATGTTCCACCCTCCTCCTATAAACATCTGGCTGGTTTGCGACCAAGGAAAAAGCTGGATTTTGAAAAGCTGGATTTAACAGGAATGAAATTAGGGAATCTTGCCCGGCTTGGCTTCCTGGACCTTGTGGTCCCAGCCCCAGGCTCCAAAACTTGGGGACAATATGATCTGTAGAACATCTCTAGAACATCTGGAGAAGGTTAGAGAAAAAGAAAACCACCAGCAATGCAAATGGATCCCTTTGGACCGTTCATTGCTTCTCCTCTTCCTTTGCAGGTGGCTGGCCTGGGCAACCACACGTTCCCTGGTACCCGGCACAGCGTGGGTATGGCGGTGCTGAACCACCTGGCCTCCAAGTTGGACGTGGCTGACCAGTGGAAGAGAGACAAGCGATGCTGCGCGGACATGGTGGTGGCCCGTCTAGGGGAGGCTGAGCTTCTGTTGATGAAACCCCGCAAGTTCATGAACCTCAACGGGATCTCGTTGGCCTCAGCTGGTACGACAGGGTCTCTCTCAGTCATCTAGTCCATTTGTGAACCTTTTAAGCATCTTATATATATATATTATTTTTGAATTTCCTTATTTCTTACACTGGTTGTTTCACTGAGCGTTGGCTGAATACATCGCCCTTGATGGGATTCACACCACCGTCTCAACCACATTCCTTCCTGCGGTTGGTCAACCTTGGATTGCTCGTCTTCCGATTAGTTTGTGGGTCACCCAATGAACTGAAGAACCATCATGGAATCCCAAAGCAAGACTGACATGTGTTGTGGCTTGGTTTGTGCACACAGGCAGTTAAGACAGGGAACCATGGTTTACCGGAACATTGTCTAAAAAACAAATCATATAGCAATGTATGAATTTTGGACGGAGGGAAGAAGGAGATGGAAATTAAGGAAGGAAGGAGGAGATGGAAATGGGAGGGAGAAAGAGGGGGAATTGACAGGCAGGGAGGGAAATGGAAATGAGAGGAAGAGAATAATGTTCTTACACTGATGACATTTTCCACTTCTTGCCCTGTCTCGTAGCCACATCCTTCCTATAACCCTAAGAAATAATCAAATATCTAGAAATGCCACTTGTCTTCCTTTCCCTCCATAAACCTGCGTCTTCTGTTTTTGGAGAACTTGGGGTGGGGTGCTTTCTCTGGAATCAACATTGCAAATAAAAAATGCCTAATCCAATCAGTTGTCTCTTACTAGATTGGCTTCGGCCACTGACTCCTCTCTTCTCTCTCGTCAGTGGAAAAGTACAACCTGAGCATTGAAGACATCTACCTGGTCCACGACGATCTGGATAAGCCTCTGGGGAAGATCTCCCTAAAACTGGGTGGCAGTGCCAGGTATTTGATGCCAAACCATTATCTTTACAGGCACCTGCAGACTCCTTATTCATCGTTTAAGAGCCGTAGGAAGTTGTTGTTTTTTAAACATAGGGACGAAAACAAATCCACGCCAGGAAAAACAGCCCATAGTTCTTACTACAGGCTCAGCTAAGTAGAAGGACTTGATTACAAGAGCAGTGAATAGCACCAAAAGAGAGGCTTGGAAAAAAAATGAAGATATTTCATTCTGGAGAAAAGAGGAGAGTTCTTTGCAGGCGTTTCATTACCCAGACCTGGTAATATTATCGGTGCACTGACAGGGCAAGCTACCAGAATATAAATTGAAAGCAAACCCATTCTTTACCAGCACTGATGAAGTTACCTAGTTGGATCATGAAACGTCTGCAAGAAAACAAGCAAACGCAGAGAGCACCAAGGACCCCACAGCCTTCTTCCTCCTCCTCTCCTCCTCCTCTTCCTCACTCCTTCCTAGCCCTGATGATAGTTACCTAGTGTGGGTCATGAAACGACTGCAAGAAAACAGCCAAGCTCAGGCAGCACCCAAAGAGACCACAGTCCTCATCCTCCTCTTGCTCGTCCTCCTCCCCATCCCACCTCCTTCTAGCACTGATAATGTTACCAAGTTGGGTCATGAAATGTCTACAAGAGAACAACCGACTTCAGAAAGCGCCAAGGACCCCCTCATTTCAACCCCGAACTACAGAGATTCTCTTTTTATTAAAACCTAGATGGTCATTAAGAGACCTGACTTGATCCCACAGGCAATCCTAGTTCGACAAACTAAGCAGAATTATAACAATTACACATCCTTTTGTGCTGTTCTCAGGGGGTTTGTTGGCGGTGTGTTGTTTCCAGTCTAACTCCCATTGACTGGGATTCATACCTCTAAAGGGGCTGGCTCATTCTGGGCTTAGCATGAAGTTAGCCAGGTCTTTAAGCCACAATTAAGCTAGGAATGGAGTGAAATAAACCTCTCTTGAGGGAACGATGGGATCTCACAGGCCTCGTTTTATCTTTCAGGGGTCACAACGGAGTCCGTTCCTGCATCAGCTGCCTGCACTCCGACGTAAGCCTTAATTTTGCTTTCCGATCCCTTTCTTACACCCTCGTGTCGCCGTCGGAACGGGAGATCCTTGACTGAAATCCTACATCACAGCAGCCAGGGCTATCTCGGCTTATCCCGGGCGATCCCCCTTCACGTGCTTGGCATGGTTCGATTTCTTGCTTGGGTAGAGCCCGGTTAAAAATGACACCGGTTGTGGCGGTTGCCAGGCTAAAACGGCCTGCTTCAAAAGCTATGCTGTGCATGGTTAGAACTTGCCTGCCTGCGTGCACGGTCTAGTCAGTTTCCCTCTGCCGAGCAGAGGGAGGCGAATTGGAGCAGGGGAAAGGAAAAGGGGTCAGCTGATCGAATGACGCTGGAGGGGGTTGACAGAATCTGTCCTTCCCTCCCCCAACAAGAGGTCCTTCATGCCTGTTTTTTTTCCTTCTTCTTCGCAGCGCATGGTGCGGCTCAGGATTGGCATCGGCCGCCCGACAGCGAAGGCCTCCGTCGAAGACTACGTCCTAAGCCGCTTCACCGACGCAGAGCAGGAGGTGTTGCCACCCGTTTTGGAGAGGGCAACGGCGATGCTGCTGCAGCACATTCAGCAGAATCGCGGCAGGAGGGCGTCACCGGGTCCCTGCGATGGACTCGCGAGCCCCCTTCCCAAGGCAGAAGGCGGGGGGCCCTCTTGAACACCCCCACCCCTATAAGACCGGCCACTGAGAGCAGCCGAGTTGTGTGCGTGTGTGTCTTTTTTTGATGCTGAGTTGTGTGAACTAAGGCTGGGCTCACCCGCCGGTGGCGGCTTCGCCCCATGGACGCACCTTACAGCAAGGAATGAGGGTTAGGGGTCCTTTAAGGGGCCATACTCGGATAATCCAAACACCACCCTGCGGTGAACAGAAAGATCTTACAAAAGCAAACGGGAGATTGTGGATTAGGCAACACACACACACACAGACAGACACACAGAGAGAAACACACACACTGATCCTTCGTTCTCTGGTGCGTTTTAAGAGAAATGGGAAGTCACGTTTCTACTTTCTTGTTAGCATGTTTGGGGAGGGAATGCGAGAAAAAATAAAACGCCGTCATTTCGGCACTTCCTGCTGCCCTCACATCGGAGGTGGGCTTGAGGCGACAGTTCGTGCAACGCCGGAAGGAAATGGCACGGGTAGTCCTCGACTTAACGGCCGTAAGGGACACCCCCGCATCCCCGTTAGGGCGGTCACTAAGCAAGGTGCCCGTGGGATCGCCCTGCAGCTGTTCCTGGATGGTTTCGCTTCTCGGCCTTTGGGGCTAAGATCCAGTGTAGTTCCTGGAGGTCTGGTCCGAACGCCACCGAGCCCGAAGGGCCGCCATCACGCAACCGCGACGGGGATAGGTTCGTGGGCCCCGTCATTTGGAACGGTTCGCTGGATGAACGGTCCTAATCCGAGGAGTCCCTTCCTCCCTACCCCAGGAGGGGAGAACCTCTTCCCTTCCCCTTCCCACTTTCCCACCCACCCTCCGCCCTCTTTCAAAAAGGCTCGGAGATCCGAAGGGTACCGTCCAGTTTAATATGGCTACGAGACCAAAATAAAAAAGTAAATGCAGCAGCCAGTTGGGGCGGATGGCCCGTGGGGACCCCCAACACGGCCTGGGACCACCCCACCACCCCATCTGCTCGGTTGGGTCTCTGTCCCGGTTGGGGCTGTTCTCATTTCTCACTCCTGGCATGGAGGCTCTCTGGGTTTCCTTTTGTTCTTATCCGGGTTTGCGTAGGTCATTCCAGGTATCTTTTTTTTAAAAAAATAAAGCCCCCCGTAGTTATGCCGTAGCTTCCACACACACACACACACCCCTCAACTCCCTTCTTCCGCCCTACTTGCTCAGCAGCTCCTGCCTGGCCAGGTGAGTCACTATTTCGGGCAGGTCTTCACGGATCACTACCTCCTCCGACGTCTGCGCGCTCTCCTCTGGCGCCTGGGTCGCACTCTTGGCGTGTGGGCCGCCCTTGTGGTTACTCTCGGTTCTCCAGGACAATATAGACTGCGGAGGAAGCAAGGGGTGAGGTGGGGTTTAAGGTGGGGTTGCTGTTTTTCTGAGGACTAGCAGCCCTGTTTTCTATGATGCCCTGTGTTTCATGAGGAGTAGAATTCTATTTCATGAAGACCAGAAATCTTGTTTCATGAGGACTAGAATCCTGTTTCATTAAGACTAAAAACTCTTTCATGAGGACTAAAAGCTGTTTCATTAAGACTAAAAACTCATTCATGAGGACTAGAATCCTGTTTCATGAGGACTAGAATCCTGTTTCATAAAGACTAAAAACTCATTCATGAGGACTAGAATCCTGTTTCATGAGGACTAGAATCCTGTTTCATAAAGACTAAAAACTACTGAGGACTAGAATCCTGTTTCATGAGGACTAAAAGCTGGTTCATGAAGACTAAAAACTCTTGTTTCATGAGGATTAGAACCCTATTTCATGAAGACTGAAAACTTTCATGACTAGAATCCTGTTTCATGAAGACTAAAAACTCTGTTTCATGAGGACTAGAACCCTTTTTCATGAAGACTGAAAACTTTCATGAGGACTAGAATCCTGTTTCATGAAGACTAAAAACTGTTTCATGAGGATTAGAACCCTATTTCATGACGACTTGAAAACTTTCACGAGGACTAGAATCCTGTCATGAAGACTAAAAACTCTGTTTCATGAGGACTAGAATCCTGTTTCACGAAGACTAAAAACTCTTGTTTCATGAGGACTAGAATCCCTCTTGTTCCAACGAGGGACCCAAAGCGACAGAAGGAAGCTACAGGACAGGAAGCCTGCCCCCTCCTCTTTCGCTACGAAGCCAGGCTCCCTTCTCTTCTCTCCCCCCCCGCCCCCAGACCCATCCTCCCCGGCCCCACCCACCTCCTTGGCGCTGCCATACGGGCGGAGGGTGACCAGCTGCTGGGAAGACGAGAGGGAGTCCAGGGAGGGCAGGCTGTGCACCGGCTTGGGCAGCTTGAAGATGTTGCAGTGGGACGTGGTGCGCGAGGCCTTCGTGTGCCATTCGCTGGAGAAGCTGCGGAGGGAAGCACCGGCTGAGCCTCGGGCGTGTGTGCGTGTGTGTGTGTGAGAGAGAGAGAGGTGGAAACTCCCTCCACCAAGGTTCCCGCCTTCAGAACACAAAATGTTGGCCTCGATCGCGGTCGTAAGGCGAGGACGACCTGTCATCCAGGCACCCGAGTCCCCGTTTGCCCCGCAGTGCAAGCGAACGCTTCACGGTTGCGTTCTGCGGCTTCCCACAAACTCCCAGCCTGGAGCCCCCAACAGGGAAGGTGCCACGCGGTTCTCCTCATCCCAAGATGGCGGTGCCCAACGCTGGGCTCCCGCCTCTCCCCTGCCCACGTCTGCTCCCTCCCCCTGCCTCGGGCTCGCACCTTCTGGACAGGTTGGTGACTTTGACCACCTTGCTCTCGACTGCGATGGGGTGGAGGCCTTGTTGAGAGTCCAGGTGGGCGATGCTCCTCTGCACAAAACGGAGGATGCTGTGCAAGGCGTTTTTACGCCGCAGCTGGAACACCACGTCAAATTCGCCGTCTTCCTCCTCTGCCAGCGGCCGTTCCTGAGCGGAGAGGGGAGAAAAGGATAATTTATTTCACGTATGGTCGGTGGAGATTCTCTGTCCTCCAGGTTGTTCCGAAGTGGCAACTTTGTTTTTTCTTTGAAGAGGTTTTGCTTCTCATCCAAGAAGCTTCTTCTGCTTTGACAGGATGGTAGGGAACAACGGAAGGATTGATACCCCGGCAGACAGCTGATTATTTGCATCTTTTTAGAGAGACGTTGAGGCCACCTATCCCAGGAATAGAAGAATAGAAGGAGAGAGAAGAGAAGAGAAGAGAAGAGAAGAGAAGAGAAGAGAAGGATGAGAGATGGAAGAAAGAAGAATAGAAGGAGAGAGAAGAGAAGAGGAGGGAGAGATGGAAGGAGAGAGAAGAGAAGCAAAATGTCTTCAAAAGAAACCAGAAAGTCCAGTTGCCCCCTGAAAAAACACCTTTGGGACAACTATAACCTGGAGGACCAAGAATCTCTACGGACTTTTAGCTATACTACCCTTGGAATCAGGGATGGGATCTGGCTGTATAACTACCGGTTCTTGTCTACTAGCGTTGCACGCGAGTCACGCGAGTGCAATTTACGACCTGCTGAGCTCCCTGGACAGCTGAGCGGTGCTGCGTGCAAGGGCGCAGCGCTTGGAAAAGCCCCTGCTGTGTCGCGCAAAGCAGCTGCAGTTGGAAGGTCAAATAAGAGCCCCGGCGGGTGAGCGGGCCACAACAGCAAAGCAGACCTAGAACCGGTTCTGTGTCTGCGGCTCTTCGAAGCAACCGGTTCTACAGAGGGGGAAAGAACCGGTAGAAACCCAGCCCTGCTTGGAATGGTTTGGGAGGAGGAATGGATTTCCAGGGGGGTGGGGGGAATTGCAGACAAAATTGCAGACATTTGTCCACTCAAGTGACCCCCAAGGACACAGATAAACCTCCAAGTGGCCTCAACGACCCTCTCAAAGGCTGCAAACGACCAGCTGTCTGCAAGGAATAGAAACTCTTCCATTCCCCACCCTCCAGTCAGAGTTGAAGAAGCTTCTTGGGTGAGGAGCAAAACGCCTTCAAAAGAAAACAAACAAACAAGGAAGTTCAGTTTCCTGCTGGAAACAAAATAAAGCGTCCCGGGGGCCCATTTCACGTACAGTGCGTCATGGGTGGGCTAGCCACCTGGGACCCAGGTGGGGTCTACAGGTAAACGCTCACCGTCAGCACTTCCTTGAGGCCCTGAGCGGTGTACTTGAGCAGCCTCTCGGCATTGAGCCTGCGCTGCTGTTCGTTCTGCAGCAACTTCAGCTGATCGTGCTCCTTGGCTAGCTTTTGGCTCAGTTCTTCTTTCAGCACGCTCAGCTCTTCTCTGCGGGAGGAAAAGGAAGAGGAGGAGGAGGAGGGAAGGAAGGAAAAGGGAGAGAAGGAGGAGGAGGGAAGGAAGGAAAAGGGAGAGGAGGAGGAGGAGGGAAGGAAGGAAAAGGGAGAGGAGGAGGGGGAGGGAAGGAAGGAAAAGGGAGAGGAGGAGGAGGAGGGAAGGAAGGAAAAGGGAGAGAAGGAGGAGGAGGGAAGGAAGGAAGAGGAAGAGAAGGAGAAGGAGGAAAAGGAAGAGAAGGGGAAGGAAGGAAAAGGAGGAGAAGGAGGGAAGGAAGGAAAAGGGAGAGAGAGAAAGAGGGTGGAAAAAGAGACAAAGGAAGGGGAGAGAAGGAAGAAAGGAACAGAAAAGGGAAGGAAGAGGAAGAAAAAGGGATGGACAGAGGGAGGAAAAAGTCAAAGGCGGGAGGGAGGGTGGAAAAGGAAAAGAGAAAGATGAAAGGGAGGGAAGGAAGGAAGGAAGGAAGGAAAAAAAGGAAGAGGAAGAGAAGGACGGAAAATGGGTGGAAAAAGACCAGGGAAAGAGGAAGGGAGGGAAGGAAGGAGGAAAAGAGGGAAGGAGAGAAAGACAAAGAGAAGGATGGAAGGAAAAAAATGAAGGAAGATGAGAAAGAGAGGGATGGAAAGAGGGAGGGAGGGAGGAAAGGAAGAGGGAAAGAGAAAGGGAGGAAAAAGACACAAGAGAAGGAAGGAAGAGAAAAGAGAAAGGGGTGGAAATGGAGGGAGGGAAAAAGAGACAAGGGAGGGAAGGAGGAAAAGGAAGAGGGAGAAAGAAAAAGAGAAGAAGAGGGAAGGAAGGAAAAGAGGAAGGAAGGAGGGAAGGAAAAGGAAGAGGGGTGGAAAGAGGGAGGAAAAAGAAAGATGGAGGGAGGGAAGGAAGAGAAAGAAAAGGACAGAGAGAAGAAGGAAGAAAGGAAGGAAAAGAGAAACAGAAACAGAAAGAGGAGGGAGGGAAGGAAGGGAAAAGGAAAGAAAGGAAGAAAATAAAATGGTTTTTCTTCTTCCCTCCCCCGTCTGCCCTTACATGAAATAATCCCAATTTACGACCAGGGAGCCCCCGTTGGGAGGGATCCTGGCCACTCTGGTCCTTCTCTGGAGCGAGCGGGGGAGATTTACCGGAGGAGCAAGTTCTGCTGGAAGAGGCTCCCGTTGGACTTCTGCGCCTTGGCCAGGAGGCTCTGCATTTTCAGGTGCTCCTCCAGCTGGACTTCCAGCTCTTTGCATTTCTCCGTCAGCATCCAGATGATCTGCAGAAATAATTTTAAGATATATATATATATATATATCTTAGGACAGAGAAAGAGAGACAAACCAGACAGAGAGAGAGAGAAACAGAGACAGAGAGAAACAGAGACAGACAGAGAGACAGAGAAAGACAGAGAAAGAGAGAGAGAAAGAGAGAGAGACACAGAGAGAGAGAGAGAGAGAGAGA